AGGTGCAGTGAGGGATGTTGAGCCCACAGAGGAATGGGCATGAGCTCCAGTCCTATGACAGAGGAAGTCAACCTGTCCCCTGAATGAGGCTGGCCTAACTGTGAGGGGGCCCTTTGTGCACACCCATTGTCGATAGCACAGAAGACGGAATGCTGCCAGATTCTCTCCTGGAGACGCAGAGCTCTTTGTAAATACAAACCTAGGTGTGCCAATTTGATGCTATTTTAACGTAGCATTTTTACTACTGGGGCGGCAACTCAGTTTCAAATGGACGTGAATGATTCCAAAATGCGAGTCCTCAGCTGTGTGGTCAGGTTCCCTTGGTGGCTGCCCAGGCACCCCTGAGTTCTAGCTGAAAACTGACAAGTTCTTTCCTTTCCTGGGTCATCTTTGCTATACCAAGCACTGCTCTGGTTGACTTAAAGGTTTTGTCTTACCTTCTACTTCCATTGTGTCTGTGAAAGGTCTGGTAGAGGTGAAAAATGGGTTAGTGACAAATGACACAACTCAGTGACATAATATGGGAATTAAATGGCATAATTTAGGGGACTTTATTGGTAAGAATAAAAATATAAAAAATGGTACAATCATTTTTGATTTAAGTAAATGATGTATGTAAGTTTCATATAGTGTAAATATTGTAGACAGGGACTCTAGGGAAGTCAACTGAAAAGTTCTAAATCTGTTACACCTTTTGCTTGCATTTTGCCCAAGCAAAATGTTCAGTAGTTTACTATCTTCATGCTTTTTGTACTGAGATGCATTTTTTCCCTCCTTTTTTTCTTTATTCATTTATTCAAATGTGCATACATCGTTGGGGCCATTCCTCCGCCCCTGCCCCTTTCCCCTCTGTTCCTCCCACCCACCTCGCTTCCAGGCAGAACCTGTTCTGCCTTCTTCTCCAATTTTGTTGAAGAGAAGACATAAGCAATAATAAGAAAGACAAAGCGTTTTTGCTAGTTAAGATAAGGATAGCTATATAGAGAGATTCCTAGCATTGCTTCCATGCACAAGTGTATTACAACCTGAATTGATTCATCTCTACCTGACCTCTTCACTACTTCCTGGTCACCTTCCCATAGTGATCTCTGTCATTTTAAGGTTACTGTATTAGCTCCTCTGCAGTGGGCACATCAAACACTTTCAAATTTTGGGTTTGCTACCTATCCCCATTCCTCCCGTATGTGCCTGAGATACATTTTTATACTTAATCAAGTGTTCAGTTATAGAGAAATTATTTTTGTGTTTTCTGAGAAAACCAGGACTTTAATACTAAATGAGAGTACATGTTTAAGATGTTTGTGATAATTCAAAATGAACAGATCTTTCTAAATATAATTAGCTCATGGAACAGTTCAGTATATAGGGAGCCAGTTTAAATCAGTTGATGATTCCTTTTTTTAGTGACTTCCTCAAATTTTATTTCCATTATTCCCCACTGACTTAATTTTCCATTTTTAATAATCATTATTGGGGCTTGGCACCAGCAGCTCACACCTGTAATCCTAACTACTTAGGAGGCTGAGATGGGGAGGATTGCAGTTTGAGGCCAGCCCCGGCATATTGTTGGTGAGACTCCATCTCCAAAAAAACCAGGAAAAGATTGACTGAAGGTATGGCTTAAGCAGTAGAGAGCTTGCTTTGTAAGCATGAAGCACTGAATTCAAACCCCAGACTCACCAAAAAGAAACCATTATTTGTGACCATGTTTTATTGTTTTTGGGGGGGCACACTGGAGTTTGAACTCAGGACTTTCCATTTGCTAGACAAGTGCTCTACCCTCCAGCCCTTTTTGCTCTGGTTACTTTGGAGATGCAGGGGTATCCCTTTTGTGCCCAGGCCAGCCTGAAATGTGATCCTCCCATTTTGCCCTTTCCATTGTTGCTGGGATGACAGGTGCATGCTGGGACCAGTTAGTGGTTGAAATGGGGTCTTGCAAACTTTTTGCCCAAGCTGGTTTGGAAACTTGATCCTCCTGATCTCAGCTTTCCAAGTAGCTAGGATTACAAGTGTGAGCCATGAGCACACAGCTTGGTGAGACTGTTTAAGATGGCTTGAAAGAATAAGGGAGAGGTTTTTTGAGTTATGTTTTTACCTTGAAAGGTCTGAGTCAGAGAAAATTTCCTCTTTCATCAAAAATAGACACTTTATTTGACAATATGCTATTACCTTGTAAGTGATTACTTTAAAAGTGAGTTTTAACCATGGCTTTTCCTTGTATAAATAGGTCAAGTTATTGTGTTTTACCCAATTGCAAGTAGATCTGATACTGCTGACTGAAATATGCATGAAGCTTACATATCTGCAAGGACTAACTTTCTGACTTAATTTAATTAGCATTTAGCAGAATTTAAATATGGATGTCTTATAATGAGCAGCACTGGGAGCATAAATTACCCAGATACTATAAAATGGAGAAATAAAAAGTCACAGCAGGCAAAGGAAATCAAAGCAATGAGAGGCAAGCAGAAAGAGCTCACCTTGTAATTTTTATCAAATGGACTCTAATTCCATCTTTTCTGGAAGTGCCAGGCATGGATAGCAACAGCTTGCCACCTGGCCTTGAGGATTTTTGGGGGGTGGTGGTGGTGGTACCGAGGTTTGACAGTAAGGTCTCTTGTTGATAGGGAAGTTCTCTACCACTTGAGTCACGCCCCCAGCCAGTTTTTGCTTTAAATTTATTTTTCAGACTGGGTCTCACGCTTTGGCTCTGCCTGTCTCATAGCTGTGATTATAGGTGTCTCATGAGAGTTGCCCAGCTTGGTCCTATCTCTGCCTCCTGAATAGCTGGGATTATAGGTGTGTACCTTCATGCCTGGTCTTGCATTTTGGAACAGAGTTAAAATCATTTCTATTTGCAGATGGTTGCCATGAATTTTGGAGAGGGAAGTCACAAACATTCAGTGCATCACATCTGTCTTTTGCCTACCATCTTAAATGCAGTATCCTGTTGAATCCTGAACAACCCACGGGCACAGATGCCTCCCTTCATAGTCATGAGTTAAGCCCAAATCTCTGACTCTGATCCCATCCTTTCAGAGGACGTTGTGCCTGTTGCGCTCATCTGCATGGCTGACTAGGGAGTCCTGAGAAGTGCGCATTGACTTTCAGGATTATAACCAGAAGAACTGGACCTCTGTAACCCGGTATCTCTAAACTCAGCACTAACTGAGTTCCCAACTCTTTCCACTGGGAATCTTCTACTGGTGGTGAATCTTTACAGCGAACACGGGCTCCTTCTGCTTCCCACAGCTCCATCCAGACTGTGTCTGAATGGCCAACAGGTGGAGATGGCAGTGTGCAGGGCACTGTTTTATCTTAGTTTTCAAAAATTGCATAATATTCAGTTATTTTAGCAAGATGATATTTTTTACAAGAACTGCTTGGGCGAGGTGGCTCAAGCCTATAGTCCTAGCCACACAGGAGGCCAGCCAGGGTAAAAAGTTCAAGAACCCCCCACCTCAACCAATAAAAGCTAGACATGGTGGCGTGTGCCTGTCATCCCCAGCTTGGCCCAGGACAGCCTGGCCATAAAGCAGGACCCTATCTTAAGAATAACCAATGCAAAAGGGTTGGGAGCCTGGCTCAAGTGGTAGTGTGACTGACTAGCAAGCGCATGGCCCTGAGTTCAAATCCCAGACTGCCACCCCCCCAAAAAATCCAAAGCAATGTTTGTAGTCCTTTAAATAAAAGGCAATTGTAGTTTTAGCTGTAATGTGCTTATGCTTGAGTTAAGCCACTACCTCCAGACTGTTCCAAACTGAGAAGTACACAAAATATAATCAGGTGAAGTTGTAGAAAATGTAAATTCTTGAGGCTGGGGGAACAGCTCCCTGGTGGAGTGATGCCTGGAAGGTGGAGGCCCAGCATGGAACCCAGGTGGTAAGAAGTGCAGAGACGCATATTATGGGATGGCTTTTAAAGTGCAAATGAGAAAGGCCTGGAGGCTTCTAAGATCGTGTGGCAGTTAACTGGTTGAAAGTGTCCCTCTGCTCCACTTAAGGAAGGCGATTTGTATTTTCTTGTGCTTATGAGAGGCGTTTACAAGAAGTAACCCAAGTCAAGTTTCCTGAGGTGTAAGCATTTTTTATGTGAAATTTGCCAGGTCAAGTTTTGCTTGCACAGCTTGGGAGTTTTTTGACCAGAAGCCTAATTCCTCCAAGGCGGGATCTTAGAAAGCCTGCTGTGCTGAGCGGGAGCAGCGAGGCCCTGGCAGGGGCACCATAAGGTACATTAATGCCTTCCCAAAACAGTACCCTATTTCCCCACAAGTGGGATATAAGCTATAATAAGTTGTTTCACATTATTTACTAATGCTTATTTTTCCAGTAAGCTAGCTCCAAGAAATTTAAGGCAGTATTGGGGTTTGAATTCCAGGCCTGCACATGCTAGGCAGGTGCTCTACCACTTCAGTCATGCCCCTGGTCCCTTTTTACCTTGTTATTTTTCAGATAGGGTCTCACTTTGCCCAGCCCATACTTTGACTTCAGTCCTGCTATCTGTGCCTTCCTTTGTAGCTGGCATTACAGGTGTGAACCATAATGATCAGCTCATTCTTTGAAATAGGACTTGATAACTTTTTGCCTTGTCTGGCCTTGAACTGAAATCCTCCTATCTCTGCCTCCCAAATAGTTGTGTTTACAGATGTGAGCTACTATGCCTGGCCTAAATGTATACTTCTTAAGGTATCAGAAATTTGAACAAAGCCCTCACTGAAGCTGACTTTCCAGGTTTTTTACTTGTCCAGCAGCCCTATTGGTTGGTCTTGTCAATTCTGCCTCAAGGATGTGGCAGGACAGTCTCGTTGGGCTAGAGAACCTCCTGTGTGAAAGAGTGACCTTCTCCCGAGAAGGGCTGTGACACTGCAGCACATAAAGGAATGGATACTTGAAGCAAGTGAACTAAAGTAAGCTTTTCTTTCAGCACATCCATTTTGCATTTCAATTTGACTTTCTGTTTTCCCACTTCTCTTTCTGCTAAGATGAGGTTGTCTCACTCACCACAGTTGTCCTCATCAGCCTGGTTCCCGCAGTCGTCCACACCATTGCAGTGAAGCAGCTGGGGCAAGCACTTGGTGACATTTCCACAGGGGAAGAATCCCAGGGGACACCTGACATCCTGCCCGCTCCCGAGAGCCACTGGGATGAAGAGAGGAGGACACGTGACGTGGGTGAAGGTTAATACAAAAGCCTTGTGACAAGTGGCTTCCCCAATGTCTTGTAAACACTGCGCTTCCTCAGCCTGGTCTGCACAGCCCTCCCTTGCTGCCCGCCCTGGCTTGCTCTCACCATGCCAGCTGTCTGCATGAGCCTTCTCTCAGGGGGATGCTCTCATTGGCCCTTCCTTAGCCTTGGTGGTCCTCAGGGAATGCCTTCCCCATCCCTATCTTTTGTGAAATGTGTGTCCATATTTTACACTACAGCTCCGTTCCCCCTTTCTCCAAAAGGCTTTCAGTCAATGATAGAAAACACCAGGAATGTATTGTCCTCATACCCTGGCCTCCTCCCGCATAGTGAAAGTCTCGAAGCACAATGGAGCCTGGTGACGTGCAGGAACCAATGAGGGGAGGGAAGCACTGCTCATCAGATTGGTAAGAACCTGGGTTCAAATTCAGGCCTGCCCCAGGAGGCAGAATGGGAGACAGATCACCTCCAGAGACTGCTAGTAACCACCTTTTGGGGTGAAGCTGTGTCTCTCAGGTTCAGGGAGTGGGGTGGAAGTACTGTGCTGTGTAAAAGTGTGTGAGACACCTCCGAGAGTTGGGGGCGCGTTGAGCTTTTCCCAGGAAATAGCCACAACCCGGTTAAGGATGGGCAACAAAAATTCAGTTCCAAAGAGGGAGACTCACAAGAAAATAGATACATCATCCACCATTCCATTGGAGAGCCCTGTCGGGATAATTTAAAAGTTTTTTTCTTTTTTTTGAGAGTGCACTCCAGTTTTGTGTGTGTATGTATGTCAATTTGTTTAAAGAACTGGGCAAAATTTAATCTGCTCCTGGAATTCCAGCTCATCTTATCACACTTAATTGACATTTTTTTCTGGCATGCTTAATTTATAAAACTTTTATGTGTGTGTGTATATGTATGTATGTATGTGTAAGCATCTTCAAAATGGTTCTCAAACTGCTGTTAGAAGGTTAATGTGATATTCAAGGTAACAAAAAACCAGGGTGTTTGTTTTGAAGATCTTTGTTATAAACTGCTTAAGCTTTTTACACATGAATATGTAATCATCTTGAGGATGGTTCTTATTATAAAGTAAATGTAAAAAAAATTACTGTGTTCTACTGATATTTTTAAAAAAACAGGTTTTCAAACTTATTTCAATCAGGTCTTACTAGGATGCAGGCATTCAGGGGTTAATGCTCTCGCTTAGACCAGAGGAGGGAAAAAAAGAAAAAAAGGGGGACCACAGCCTGCAACAGGAGTCTTAAAATTTGGGTAGTTAAAAATGACCTTCACCTGTTTCATTCTGTCATGAGTAAAATCTGGGATTTAATTCTCTCTTCTAGTACATGGGTCTATTAACAAATAGGCTTTCTATAAATTGTTTTTATATACAAAATAATTTTAAGGTTGCTTTCTTTCTGTTTTTTCCATATAAATATAAGGTTCCAAGTTAAAAGATTTTATGAGTCATTTTTAATAAGTAACATATATATGTATATATATATATATATATATATAGTATTAAGGATATGGTTTTTAAAAAATAAAAGGTTAAAAAATACTTTTAAATAAAAAAAGGATAAAGACAACCTCCCCCAGGGGATACAAAATAAGTTGTCGTAAAGATACAGAGTTACCATAAAAAGATAGAGCTTATAAACGCTATGTTAGTGATTGAGTTGACTAAAATCCAGTTACATTAAAGGTTTTATAAAGTCAAATTTAATGTACTAATATTAAATTAAAACTTACTTCTCTAAGCTCATAACAAAAAGACTATCTTAAAAATAGTTCTTAATAACATTTACAAAAACTGTCTTAAAAATGTTTTTTGTTTTGTCAAGATAACTGTCAGAAAATTTTGGTGCTACAGGTTAATCCACAAATTTGTCAAGACAAGAGTTTATCAAAACACAGAGAGGCAAGAGGCAGCTGAGCACAGGGAGTACTGTTGCACTGATATGAAGGTTGAGACAGATTTAGTTATATAAAGCAAAAAAACAAAGCTAAAGTGCACCTTCCAGATTTAAAAAAAAAAAAAAACAACTCAAAAAAGGAGCACTACACAGGAGGTCAAGACCTCCAGTTTTTATTGGAGTTAACAGAGTGGAGATGTTAATCCTACTCCTTCCACATGTCAGGCAGAGGGAGTTTTTGGTCTGGGACGTCCAGATTGGGCCTGTTATTTTAGGGGGACTCCATTGACTACAGATTGGTGGGATCCTGCTGTATGTCATGAGCCATCTGTTAATGTCAGCAATCTGAGATGTGATCCCTTATCAATGTCTGAGCCATGATTCTTGGCCACTATGTTTCCTAACTCCACACTTAGCCCCCATACATATTTACCTGTGTTCTCTGGTGATTTTTGTTGGGGTTTTAACTACTAAGGTAACTGAGTCATGTTCATTTAGGAGTTGGTTTATGTTGGGGTTAACAATGAGGACAGCCATGTTAGGACACTTCCCTTCTTGCAGATAGCTTACTAGAAACTCCCCACCCAACCCCAAAGACTGACAAAGGGACAATTGTAACCTTTATCTCCCCAGATGGATGCCAAGGATAGCTGAGCAGACAGTGACCTAACTACAACTTATCTTTCTTGGTTGCCCAGTAATTGTATCCCTTAGTGACCTTCCTGGTACTTTTCCACTAGCCCCCTATGTCTAGCCCAAGCCTGTGTATGGCAATGGGCTCTAGCTCTCTTGCTGGGTTTCCCCTCCACAGGCCTCCTGCCTAAACAATAAACCCTGTACTGGTGTTTGAGCCATCTCTCTGCCTCTTCCATACCTCTTATTTTCTAACAGTTTATGCAAAATTTTCTAGATAACCTCATGGTTAAACAACTGTTGTCTTGGGTGACTGTGACTGGGGTATTTGGGTTTACTAAAACTGTTCTTCCCCCCTACAACTGATAAAAATCTAAGGTTTTACTTCAAGAACAGCTAGCTAATATGTATATATAACCTCTATAGACCTGTGATGCTATTTCTGGTTCCTTATACTAAACATATTTATGTTTTTCAAGAATATCACGCCTTCTACAAATACAAAATTTAGATAAACACATTAACAAAAAGTTAGTGGTACTGATATACTGTTGCTAGTTGCTAAATTGTCCACCACAATTTTAACCATGGCTCTTTTAAGTTTTTGTCATTACAGTTCTGATCCTTCTGGGGCATTTACAATCAAGTCCATGAAAAATGACTCTTAATAAGTGCTTTGTTATGTATTATCCTTTTCTAGAAGCCCACTGCTTAAGAGTCACTTCTTTGTTGCTTAAATTTGGCCAAAAGGGTCTAAGTTAGCACTGACTCCCACCTGATCTGCTCATTATTTCCCTCCTGACATGGGGCCAAAACCAACCAAACAAAATCCAGGGAAAAGCAAATCCTCACGATAAAGAAAGAAAATGGCCAATCAAGAAAGATCTTCAGTCTACGGCCATACTACCCTGAAAGCACCCAGTCTTGTCTGGTCTCAGAAGCTAAGCAGGGTCGGGCCTGGTTAGTACTTGGATGGGAGACAGATCTTCAGAAAAGACTACACAGAGGCAAACAGTTTGAAAACAAGAGGGGAATGCTGTCAAAGTTCCAATGGAGTTGCTCATGCCAGACCTCTCAAAAATAACCAAGGCTGAGAGGATTGAAGAAATGGTTCTTATACACGTGTGGCTATCTGGCATTAAAGCCTTCCAGACACAAACTCATATTTTTAGACAGGGTCTTCTACTTAGAGACAAAATGATTATTTCTACTTGCTCTAAACATGTCCTTTGATACTTAAAGATGGTAGTTTTAACTTTTTAAGATGAGTTTTCTTAGACATATATACTGACAGTATATTGTTACCATGGTAATTCTACTCTGTTAAAAAAAAGGCACTATCTGGGTGAAGGGGGTGCAGTTTCCCACACTCCCTCCCTTGCTGGAGCGAGGTGTTCTCTCTCTCTCGTTGGTTATTACTGGACCTAACTGGGCTTAACTAGGGGTGACTGGAGATTTTAGAGGAGATATAGGATAGACAGACAAAGAAATTTGGGGTCAGGTGTGTTGTACACTCGGTTGGAGACACACAATCCTCATTGCTTCTTTTCTCTATCTTGATTCTTTAAGGCCTTGCTCCTTGCAGTTCTTTAAAACCTTGCTTAAAACCTCTTTCCTTAGGCTTGCTCTGTCCCATGTTTGGTCTTAGCTTATCTTTGGCTTAATCGCTTTTAAAGTCTTTTGCCCCCAGGCTTGCACTGTCCCATCTCTCTTTAGCTCTCTCAAAGCCTGGGTGCTCAAACTTGCAAACAGCTGTGCCTGCGACCTGCATTATGCATAGCTCTTAAGGTCTCTGTCCTCACACTTGCACTGTGCACTCTCCCATGTTCTCTTTGGCTTTTCTTTAGCTTTAGCTTTCCTAAGGCCTATGTATGAAGTTCTTTCTCAGCTTTGCTTTCTGAAGCCGATGTTAAAGTTCTCAGTGCAGACTTTCTATCAAACCCCTCTTTAGCACTTTCTCTTTAGCAATTTTTCCCTTTCGCATTTTCCCTTCGATAATTCTTTTCCCTTCCAAAACCTTCCCAAACCAAAACGCCCAAAGTAAAGCCCCAAAAGGCAAAAGCCAAAAGCCAAAAGCAAAAGCCCCTTTTCCTCCTTCAGGGTTCTTTTATAGCAGCAAACAGGGTGGTGCCATGGGGAGGGGTGTGACATTGTAACAGGAGAAACCTGCATTCCTGCTTCTCTGAACGCAACTTAGGTGACACAGCTGTTCTGCTTTTCCCTGTTTTGTGACCCTGCACTGTGCCTATCTCAGCCTACAGGTAAAAGCAATTAACTGCATCTGGCCTTGCTTGTGTCCAGTTCTCATAGGCTTTCATCTGCTCTCCACATCTGGGTAAAATAAATAAATAAATAAATAAATAAATAAATAAATAAAATGTCCAACCATTAAAACCCCATTAGAGAGGCCCTTTTGTT